GAAAATGTGTCAGAGTTTGTGAAAGTAATATCGGAAAGGGTGGATGATATTCACCATCACGTGCATTCAAACTTGAAAATGTCTGCTGATTCCATTACGTTTTGTTAAGATAAGAGATCTACTGAAGTCAGCTTTGTACCAGGAGACAATTAACCAACGTCCAGAGATGCAACATTATATTGACCTTTCAGCCGTGCCTGGCTAACAATACAGAAGTTACAATGGTGTGGCTCACGTGCACTTATGTTACCGTATTTTTACGTCTTTGGTCGTTGATTAATTTTCCGTAGAAATTCTTTCCAAAAACTTAAGCGATACAAGTCCTTTCTTAAATAAAACTAGTTTATTCTTTCTCAATACAACTTTGCAATACACTTAATTTCCACAGTCACTTTAATTTAAACACACGTTATAATTCACAACGATTCACGTGCTTTACTTACGGTCACTACCGCACTTGACTCAATTGTCCATATCTATCTGTGCCTGTCTGCAATTCAATTCCGATTAATTGTCTGCTTGATCTGGCGTGCTTATATACAGGAATAGAGGGCGTCTAGCAAATACTGGATTATTCATGATGTTCTCCAATCCTTCTAGAAACTCATTACGTGTTACCAGCGTCACGTGACTTCCGCTGTCGTAACAGTATCAATAACATAAATCTGATCTTTGGTCTGTACAAAGTTACTTGTCTTGGCTGTGTTTTAGTCGACCAGTATTTTGTAAAATACAGTCCCATTTGAATTATTATACGTTACATATGTATATAGATTATTGGTATTGTGAAATAAGTTCTTAAACTTATTTTTCCTAAAACAAAGAACAGTAAATAAAGAAGTAAAGCAAACAATTATCTCTTCTATTTATGACCTTTGTACTCAGTTGCTGCTTGAAGTAGGTTGCTAAGCTTTAAAACTTTTGCACATGGAGGATATGAAACAAAATATTTTTTTAGGTTTCACATATAAGTATGAATAACTAAAAAATCATACATTAATAGATCAGTACCATAAAATTCAACTATAATTTATCAAGCTTAGTAACTAAGATGTATTTTACTCTAAAAATATTAAATTTCGAGCAGACTAAAGACACAACCTACCTCATTGAAATATTAGTTCAAAAGAAAGAAATGGTGCTTGTCGCATTAGAGATGCTGAGAAAACCACTAGAGGGACATTCTGAGTTTCTGATTGGTTTTTTATGTAATATATAGAAGTAAGTGTATATAAGGGATCATTTCCACAAATTAAAAAAGGTGGGTGGGGTACCACTGCGTTTGATTTATTACATGAGCAATATTTTAGCAAACATAAAACTTTCTTATTTTATATTCTAGTTTATCAATATCTGTAATTTGAGTTTATAAATTGTACGAAACTGTAGACTTAGCATTTTGATTTCACAAACATCTAATTTGAACCAGTGCTGCATTTGATATAACACATGACACACACAAAATCGATGTTTAACTCTGTTTTTAATATTCACTTTTAAATTAAAAAATTTAATAATGAATAATACTAAAATTTGAATTATATTTCATCAGAATTGTGAAATAGAGTAAAAGTAACTCATGCATGTAACCTTTTAAAAACCTTGAATTAAAAAATGGGTTAATATTGCTTAAAAGACAACCGTCAAAGAATACAGCATCATAGGAAGTATAAAATAGACCTTTGATCTGAGGGATAACTGGACAATATTCCTTAATGAATAACAGAGGCTGGTCAGTTGATTTAAAAAAAGTGCTTGCTTGCTTTTCAGAATGCCACCATCCAAGGAATCTCTGGTACTGGATCACTTACTATGGGTGCATTTTTCTTGGTAAGTAATGCTTTTTGTGCAATAAGTTAGTTAACATTTTCAGGTCTATTCTTTATCACTTGGCTGTTCATGGTGTTACAATTTTACCTTTAATGCTGTTGTTATTAAATGAAGCCCCCCCATCCCCCCCCACAATAGAACAGCGGTAAGTCTATTGACTTAGCACAGATATCTTGGGTTCGATTCCCCATGATGGACTCAGCAGACAGCCCAATATGGCTTTGTTCTAAAACAAACATACTAAATGAAATAATATTCACTGTTTATATAAAGTTGGCTTAATTTTGGCTCCTGTAAACACTTACCAAAATTACTTTAATGTGTTGTCAGCTGCAGTGAAATGTTTTATTTCACTAGACAGTGAAATATCTGTTACATTTCTGCATGCCTAAATGTATGTAACTGTAAAGAGATTCTAAGTAGTTACATTCAAGGGGGATTTATTTTGCCACACATTTTTGTTGGGTATCTGATGCTTATTAAATGTTGTATAATAAGTTTTTTATTTCTCCACTAACATTAGAATTAAGTATTAAGTTCATGAAGAAGAATTAGCTTTTTTTATTTTCTGAAACTGTTCTGTGCTTTGATTAGATTTGCTGCTGAAACAAACTATTGTATTTATTCATTAGAGAGATTTCTTCAAAGGAAACAAAGAGGTTTACATGCCAGCACCAACATGGGGAAACCACATTCCATTATTCAAGTAAAAGGCTTTTCTTTCTTTCTTTTCACTGAATTATTGGTAAAGTAATAGTTTGTATTATTTAATATACCATAATATCTTGGAACATGGGACCTATTGGTCCATCCTGGTTATCCTGTCCTCTAAACTAAACTAAAGCTGTTAACTCTCTCAATACCAGCTTTTGTACTCGTTCATAGTATTTATAGATTTGATACTACTAACTTTTGGTATAGTACGTATATCTTCATGAAATTTTGCAGTCTTTCAGTAAACATTATAAGGTGTTCACGTACAAAAAAATCTTTTTTGAAGTATTTTAGATAAACTAAAAAAGATTTGTCCTTGAATATATTAAGTGTTAGTTTTGAATATTCCGTGTGCAAAGTGATTTTCATGGTAAGGTTAGAAATACTTCATCTCAAAAATCTGAAATTTCATTTGTGTAATCTCTTAAAACCTCAATGTTTGTTTTCAGTAGAACTTTATATCTTATCTGTTATTTTCTCTACCCTAACTCTGTACAACGTTGGTCAATTTGATCTTACTTGTAACCACCAATAAATAAATCTAAATTACCCTTTTTTTCTTTCTAGAATGATTTAAAATTATAACATGAAACTACAGTAATTCCTTGATAACTCAGAATTTAATATAACTGTGCGAGAAGAGTCCATATAAATTCTCCCAAGCAAGGGGCAAACTTTCTCACAGGAAAACTTTGTTTATAATAGGACAAATATACGTGTATCTGTTCAGAAATACATCACGTCATTTGATAAACACAAATATTGATTTCTGTTGGTTGTAGATGATATGTAATTAAAGGGAAGAGAGAACTTATAAAGAATCCTGAAAGAGAGAATGTGACGGGTGGGTGTCACTAAAGGGGTCTTATTTTCTATTTGATAGCTTTGTAACCAAAAATTATGGTTCATCTGAGCAATGACGATTTTATAGTGAGTAATATACGTTGAATTTTGAGATTTTTAGGGGGGTGGTGGATAGAAAATAGAGGAGAATATACCTAGAGAAAATGTTAAGTTTGTCACACTAGGGGAAATTCAGGAGTTTTTAAAATGCCTTATAGAATTAAGAACTTAAAATTTATATACTATCAAAATATGGATTATTAGCTTAGGTTTTATTCTATACTAATATGCTATAACATAAACAAAAAGTAGTTTAATTAAATTTTGAATGTAAGTCACTATATTCTTGTGTCTTGTGCAGTAAAGGATACCCGGGGTGATAGGGGTATAACTCCCTACATTCAGAGTTGCTGAGCGACAATAGAAATTCACGCGGAACACAACTCCCTCAGTTGAGCTTCAGTCAGTGTACTGTGTATTTTGAAAAGATGAAAGTTTTGGAGAAAGTGAATGCAAGTGCAACCATATGTAATGTATGTGAGAAGTTTGGCATCAAAACAAGCACATTATTAAGAAGAACAGGGCAAGATTAAGGCACGTACTTTAACCCTTTCCAGACAAGTCGCTGGTGGAAGGCCATGTCATCACATTTGTTGACTCTCAATCAAAATTTTATTGAACTACTATTTCAGGACTTTATTTCAATAAGTTTGGTATCAAACTGTTGATTTTAATTCAAATTTTAATATTATACCTTACTCAATTTCTTAATTTAAAAGTAAGTATTAAAAATACAGTTAAACATTAATTTTTATGTGTCACTCGGTATGTTGACTGCAGCACTGGTTCAAATTAGATGTTTATAATGTCAACATACTAAGTCTATAGTTTTGTAGGAATTAGAAACTCAAATTACCAATATTGACAAGCTAGAATATAAAATATATAAATTTGCAAATAGTCAATAATATTGTAGGACCATTTTATTGTTGTTCTTTCTACATACTGTTATAACACTTTTATATCATCATTTAATTTCTGATGTGCATATATTGTTGTATAGAAGATATTTTAAAGTGATTCATCAGGTGGAAAACGAATAGATAGATAAACTGTGGCGCCATCTAGTGTACCTAAATTCACCTAGAAACTTTCATAAAAGTGCCCCGAAAAACGGGGGTAACCCGTGGCTCAGTTTTAACGAAACTTGTTTATTTTGTTTCTATTCTCATATCATTACAAATATGGCACTATTGTGCACCCATAGCTATTTGGTCTAAACATTTATGTTTTCATGTTATAATTTGTAACCCTTCTACAATCACCTATGTCACCTGTCATATGGCACTATATGCTTGAATCATAATCTTTTTGGCCTGCTGTGCTGTTAAGTGTAAATTTTTAATGTTTTTTTTTTTTAATTATAATTTATTTTCAAACAACAGTAGTGTTTATTTGGGTCTAAAAAGTTGTGATTCGGAGGTGGAAGGAAATTACTTCAGTAACTCTGAATTTTGGATAACTCTGCAAGGCTTTAACCCCATATGTTCCGAGTTTTCGAGGGATTACTGTACATTCATTTACCTTAAACTACTTTAAACTCGTAACTGTATACATCTATTTATAATTAACTTTTATTGTTTTATTGTCCTTTGAACCATGTCTAGCTGTTATTTGCACCATTATAGTTGAAAATCACATTACGCTATTGAATTAAGTTGCCCACAAGCTGCTCGTGAAACATTTTTATTATATTATTGTTTATTTTCTAACCTTATTTTTACATTTTAGTACATTTTTTTTGTAGTAGTAGTAGTTGTAATGCATTAAATAATTTTTATTTAATTAAATAATGCACCAAAGAACATAGAATAATAACATGCAAAAGTAGATAATCTCCTCTAATTATCACAGTTTTCTGGCTTTCTAACTATGCAACAAGAACAGTTACAGAATCATCCAAGCTAGTTGTTATCTTTCCCATGGGAATGAAGCTTGTACTAACAATGAAATTTTCAATTCTCCATTCAGAAAACAATGTTATATAATGCATCATTTGATACATGAAATCATTGGCTTTCTATTAGTTATAGATAATATAGAATTAAATGTAAGAGAGAGCTATTAACAAATCCTGAAAGAAATGATGTAACAGATAGGTGTTGCAAGAGGGGTCTGATTTTCTTTTAATTGGTATAACATAAACAAAATGTAGTTTAATAAAATTTTGAATGTAAGACACTAAAACCTTGTGTTTTATTGTTGGAATGACATATAGCAAGACTTGCATTGGCTACTAAGAAAGTACCCTCTCCTCTGACATAAAGGATACTAGTCTCTTTTTTAACATCATAGCAGTGGTGGGATTCAGCCGGTTCGCACCGGTACGTGCGAACCTGTTCTTAGAATTTAATGACCTCCACGAACCGGTTGTTAACAATCGTATGTATAGGCCTAATAATAATGTTACAACTTACAAGTACGCGTGTTTACAACACAACTTTACTAGCAGGCTAGGTGGACTAGGTCTCTGATGAATCATTTGCCAGCAGGTAAGTGTTTTTTTTATACAGATTCTTATGATCTTATCTAAACTATTATTATTAGATCTAACTTAGTTATATCATCTACTATAGGCCA